AATAAGTTATGTCAAGGGAAATTAATTCCCCTTCCTCAGTGGGGCCCACTGTATGCAAACTTGTTCATTTTCCTGTGGTCTTTGGATTGGTTGTCAGTACTGTATCCTCAGTTAAGCAAGCTATCAGATTCAGAGACTGGTAGTTTTGGTTGCAGTACCTGGCCAACCACATTTCTTTGATCTTCAAGATTTGCTGAGAGTTTACAGTCTTGGTTATGTGGCCTCTGCCTTCTGCATGGCTTTATTGTGGACTTAGGCCATTTTTACTTTGGACTAATATAAGTATCTTTTAAGCTTTCATGTTGCCCTCTATTTTTGTTTTTATGTATCAGGACATCACCAAACAAAGAAACAATCAAAACCCTCATATGCTTCTGTGAGAATAATGAGGTAAATACCTTTCAGATTTAGGATGACTGGAAGGTTCCATTGCAAATAAGGTGCTTTTGAATTTGATCTAAGTACAGATTGTTGCTGTTATCTATCTGACATATAAACTGATTTTGACTATCCATAAATCCCACTATATGCTACTAATGCTTTTATGTAATCATACAATGCTTCTATGTCTCATAATTGTAAGACTTGATGCACAGCATAGTAAATGTAGATTCTCATTTGAGCTCTTCCAGAGTGTAAATAGTGTCCTTTTCCTTCTTTACATCTATGTTAGGGAGGTGCCTGCAACAGAACAAGTGTTGACTATTACTGCTTAAACAGAAGTGTATATGTTCAAAAGATTCTGTATTTTTTATTCAACTTGGCAAGCATTATATGCACTTCAGAAATTGAACGTATGTTCTAACGTTCCTTCTCCTCTTGTAGAACATCAGTAATAATTGCCTTGTGTTGCAGAAATTTATTTGCTGCAGAATTCTATGCCATGGCTGACATATAGAATTTATAATTTTGAGAACAGTTTTTTTTAAATGAGCCACAAGGTTTTCTTTTTTAATATTTTTATCTTTTTTGAACTTATAATTACATAAACTCTCCCTTGTCTTTCTTCTCTCTGAACCCTCCTGTTCACCATTCCTTGCTCTTTCAAATTCCTGGCTCCTTTTTTTGTTGTTATCCTCAATTGTTTTATAAAAATACATGTTTTAAATAAAATGTATTCCAATTATGGATACCCTCAAATCCAAGCCTTTCTCCCTCCCTCCCTCCCTTCCTCTCTTCCTTCTTCCCTCTCCCCTTTTTTCTTTTTCTTTCTTATTTTGTTATAAAACAAACAGGTATAAAACTAAGCCCTAAATGGATGTTTCCTTCAAATCCCTCCCTTTAGGTCTAGGGAACCCAGGGAAGAAGAAGTGGAAAGAGTGTAAAAGAGAGAAGGGACAGGGGACACTAAGAAAAAACGAGGGCCTCTAAATCAGTATAATCAAAGCTCATACGAAGTCACAGAGACAGAGGCAGCAAGAACAGGTACTTTGCATATAAATTGTGTCTTCCAGCTTAGTGTTTTTGTATTTTGGTACATAGGACAGTAGATAATCAGCAAACATTTGTTGAAGACTTGAATATGTAAACTAGTGAATGAATAATGTTGAAAATAATAATAATAATAATAATAATAATAATAATAATAATAGTAGTAGTAGTAGTGTTGAAAATACCTTTGCTGGTGATTTGAGGAGCATTTGGTTATAGAAAGGACACAGTGAACAAGAAACCTAGAAGTTTTATATGGACACATAATATCCATTGTTTTACCAGGTTTAAAGAAAGGATTTGGTGAAGTCATATTATTGAATCTGCAATAGCAACTACCAATGTGACACTACTATTTTTATTGATTATAAGTACTTACTATGGGTCTATCTTGGATCTACAGACTTAATATGCTTTGTGTTGTTTAGTTTATTTAATACACTACAAGATGTATGGACTAGGGTACTGGTAATTTTTTTTTTGGCTAGTTAGACCAGTTAGTCTCTACCATGTATTAAGGTGAAATAGCAAATAAATTTTATAGGATTATACTTAAAATTCAAGTATATCTAACTCCAAAACCAGTTGCATACCTTCTCTTAGCCAGAATGTTTGTATTTTTACCAAGTTTGCAAATAGAAAACTGAATTCTTTCTCAAATGGAGGCAGGCAGGTACAGGAGAGCAATGGTGCAGAGGTTACCATAGTAACATTAATGGGTAAAACTACTTGTCTAATACTATGATGAATGCAGTATAGCTAAGTGTACATGCTTATATGGAAGCTGACTGCAGACTCAATCACATTTTCTACCTGTAGTCTATCAATACAAGCATTTAATAAAAAAAAGAAAATTATTTAGAAGCCAAAAACAAAATAATATCACTACAGCGCTATCTCTGCTCAGAACAAAAATGTCTGAGTAGTACAGACACTTTGGAAGTAGTCTAGAAGTTTCTCAAACAAAACTAGAAATAGAGCTACCATGTTGCTGAGTCATTCACTCCGGGCTAAAGCAAAGAACGCAAGGTCCGACTGCAGAGATGCTTCTGCATCAGAGTTCGTTTCTGCTCTGTTCACAATAGCTAGATAAGAGAAATAGCCTAGATCTCAATCAATTGATGGGTGGCAGTCCATGTTCATTGTGGGGTTTTACGCAGTTGCAAATAAAAAGTATGCATCAGGACTGGAAAAACATTACACTCAATCAGTTAACCCAGGTCCAGACAGACAAAGGCAGTGTGCTCTCTCATATATTGTTCCTAGGTTCAATCTTCAGTTTCATATGTGTAACTTGGAGTATCTCTGGGAGCCAAGAAAAATGTAAATATAAAAGTTTAAGTATGAAGAAGAGTAGAGAGGACCTGATGGAGAAAAGGAGGCTTATGAGAGTGTTAATCAAAATAAAAGGTATATGAAAAGCAATATGGAAGCCTATTACCTTAGAATCCAATAAAATAATATTAAAATGATTATGATGATTATTAGACCATACAAGTATGCATAATGCTGCTTCTAGTCATCAGTTACCTGGCACAAAACCTGATGGCTGGTATGGGCTGTGTTTTTATGACCATTGCCAGTCAGGGAGATCCCAGATGCCCTCACAAATACATACCCTATTGCTCTTTCTCTTTGTTGATAAGATCCTTGTCTTAGTTTAGTTTTCTGTTACTGTGAAGAGACACTGTGACCATGGAAACTCTTATAAAGGGAAACATGTAATTGGGGCTAAACACATCAGAGGTTTAGTCCAGTATCATCATGGCAGGAAGCATGGTGGCATGTAAGCCAATACGGTGCTGGAGAAGGAGCCAAGCATTCTACATGTGGACCAACAGGCAGCAGGAAGAGAGGAGAGACACTGGGTCTTGTTTGAGCATCTGGAACCTCAACAACAACTCCCAGTTACACACTTCTTCCAACAAAGCCACACCTACTCCAACAAGGCTATACCTCTTAATAGTGCCACTCCCTACATGCCTATGCGGGACATTTTTACTCAAACCAACACAATCCTATTCCTGCAGATATGGCACATCTTGATTGCATGATACAGATATATAGAGAAACAAACTTAGTTGGAAGCTTCCTGCCAGCTGGCTAGCTTTCAGAGTCCTGTCCAGTACTATGAAGGCTAGTGGGAAGAAAAAGCAAGGACAGACTTACTCAGCTCTAAACTCTGTTCCTGACATTATCAACCTGATCATCAAGATATACCTGTCTGTTTAACAGGGATGTGATGGTTACAGGGATAACTAACAACTTTCTGGTTAAATTTGAGACTAGCTTCTCAGGAGGCAACCCATGTCTGGTACTGTAAACCCAATAAAACACATGGCTTGGACCATTGTAGACTTTAGGGGGAACGTAATACTGCCTAGTTAAATTGATGTAGTGCCAGACTTCCTGGTAAATACCCGTTTTATTTTCCTGTAGATGAATGCTCCTCTCAGCCTAAATCTCTTTCCAGTGAACAGCAGTGGATTCCAAGACTCACAGCTGCTCAACCTGCTGGGAGTAAGTGACACAGAAATACTCAGACCTAAAGAAAGTATTTGTGCCACTTCCTGGAAGGCTCAGAGGATGTGGCGGAAGAAAGGACTGGAAGAGTGTAAGATCATAAGAATGGTTTGTAACACCATCTTCTGGGCCTGACAAAGTCCTTCACTGTAATCATCAACACACAACAGCTGTGATTATCTGGATATAGGGCTGCACAAAACTGGCCCTGTCAACAGTCAGTCATGGAGAGAGAAGAGTTCAAGGGCCTTACCCCTCCTACCTTACGCATTAGCTGCTAAGATTCTGGGAGGAAGGCAGTCATTGTCTTTAGTTTTGTGCTCACTGGTGAGCCCACCAAGCACCAAAGGGTAATATCAAACCTATAGACACACAAATAAACTCACTTGTCCAAAAACAACAACAACAAAAAAGCACTTGAATGTAGATAGCAAAAGGGTTCGTAGGAGGCATTGGCAGGGAAAGGAGGGAGATAATTAGACTGTGTTATTCACAGGGTATGAAATTGTCAACTTAAAAACATTTGAATATATGAGTCATCTGTGTGTATACATGTGCTATCTTTATAAATAGGTCTAAAATATACAGACTTATGGATTAAATATTTGGTATCTAGGGAGTTCTGTACTTGCCAAGAGAGCTGGATTCTTGTCCTAATTTCTTGTCATCCTTGTGAAAGCAGTAAAACATTATACATGGTTGAGGGGATTACTGAAATTAAACAGCTAGAGTTAATTTGTGGGTCTATTTGCTAGCTTTGTAATTTGGTGTGAATTACTTAAATTCCCTGTGTCCAATTTTCACACATAAATTGGGGTGTTATGAGGATGAGCTGAGTGGTACATGGAGGAATCTTTGATCTGTACTTGCAGTGCGGTAGCGGGTCAGTGGCTCAGTAATTGTAGCTCAGCCCAGGCTGAGGCCGACTGAGCAATCTCCCCAAGACACACGTGTTGAATTTCCTTGCAGTTTCCTTCCCAGGATCTCACGCATTATGGACTCTCTTCCTCCCTCTGCAGGTGGACAGCGGCAGTACCAAACCCTAGTATTCTTGTTGCTATGGGTACCGATGTAACGCGGTAACCAAGGGGACCAAGGCGGAAGCTCCAGGCGGCGTTGGCAGCACCTGCTGCAGGAAGGGTCGCAGGTGAGTTGGAGGACTAACTAGGCACACAGCGAGTGAAGTGTGAAGGGTCTTGGGGTGTAGAGTCGGGCGATCTAGGCGGTGCAGTCCGTGGAGCAGCAGGTGAGAGAGGAGACCCTGCCAGTTTGGAAGGAAGGCCCATCGGTCCTTCGAGGAGGTATTTGCTGGACCTTTGCCATATCTGACTCCTGATACAGCTTAACTTCCAGACACAGCTTTGATTCAAGAGTTACGTGTTTCAAAATAAAGCACTTTGGTCAATGATGTCAGTGCAGATAAGAACCAAGCATGAGGTCCAGATAGAGAAAACCCAGCCTCCATCCTGTTACAGCATCCCCAAGCTCCCTCTTTTCAAATGCTAGTCTCTTTTGTCCTTTGAAGTCACTGGTGACCTGTGAAACATGTAGCTACAGGGGAAACCATCCCACATTGTTTTTGCTTTCAGCATTCTTTCTGCCTGTCCTTGTTTAGTCACTTCTCTCTTGAAATCCATTCCTCTCCAGTAAAAGTTGGCAGAGTAGGAGTGCCTGGTTCCAGAAATATCTGAGGTAGTGGATGTTTTAGGTTTTTTTTCTTTTTCTTTTATCTTTTAAAACCAAATTAGACAGGAACAGAGACTTTGGCCGGTAATGTTAAAATACTTTTTGTAAGTGAAGCTGTATAGGATTAAAACTGTAAATTCTTTGCCTATGGTAATCGCACCTCCTTTCCTGATCTGGTTGCTTAACCTTACAGGCTACAAAGAAGCTGACCCTGACCCCCATAACACTGGTAGGTGTCTTACACAGGAACGACCTGGAATTACTTTCCCCCTTACCTTCCTTCAGGACACTTCAAATTTCCTGAAGCTGTTTTCTTTGCTTTTTGTGTGTTTTTATTTCCTTCATCAGCACAAATATTCATAGAGGATTCATGTAATACCTGATCGCTTTGTTCTTTTGTACTCCATACTATACATAGAGATATTTCATAGAAATTTGTTGATTGCCATTCCATATTTTGTAGTAGATGTGTAAAAACACAAACATATGTTGTGGGTGAACTTTTTTCCCCTAGATAAGATTGTGTAATAAGTTCAATGTAATAGAGGAATGAAATTTTACAACTTAGTATGTTGTTATCCACACTGTCAGATATGCAGGAACTTTGACAATTGAAGGAGATGCAAAGATTTATGAAAAAATGCCACCCATATATGTTCACAGCTTAGAAAATGGCACATATTTAAGCAATTGTGGAAAATAGAGATAATAATAGTAAGTTAACTTCATACACAGTTTCCAAAGGAGGAGATTTTCTTTTCTTTTCTTTTTTTTGTTTTTATGGAGGAAACAGTAAGAGAGTCGGCCTTCAAACTGCTCCATGAATAGAATAATGGAAAAATAGAACAAGAGACTAGGAAGAAGGAGATGCCTACTAGAAAACCTTAATCTTAAATGCCAGGCAGAATACTTAGGTTCATAATTTTTATGTATAGAGGACTCATTAAAATCTTTATTTGTGTGTGTGTGTGTGTGTGTGTGTGTGTGTGTTTGTATGTGTTGCATGGGAGGCCAGAAAATGAGTGCAGAGAAGGTTTCCTCATTTTACCATGTGGATTCCTAGACTTGGATTTAGACTTTTAAGATTGTTGGCAAGAACTTCTAACTGCCGAGGCATCTTGCTGGCCATAGAGAACTAGAGAAGCAACTGGATACCAGAAAAAGTATTCAGTGGTATTTCAACTGTGTCACTAAAACAGTTTTAAAATATGTAATCTTCTAATGTATGAAGGGTGATGACTGGGAGAGAGGAAATAATATTTACCAAGAAAATCTTGGACTTATTTAGGTATTTAGATTATTATTAATTTGACTCAATTGTGTTGAGTGTATAGAACTGTAACTAGATTTAAAGTCTTAAGAGCAGCTGACAGGTCTAGCATTAGAACAAGGAATAGAAGAGTAGTTCTGATGCCTTTACCATCTTCACATGCTTAAGGTTCTAATGCCTAAAACTTCTTGGGAAAACAGTAACTGTGGATCATATGAAAAAATATTAAAGTTGTAATTTAAAGATGCAACAATTTCATTGTTGCTTATAATTTTTTTCTTCCTTTTTTAAATTTAAGTTAGAAACAAGCTTGCTTCACATGTCAATCCCAGCTCCCTCTCTCTCCCCTCCTCCCGCGCCCTCCCCACCAGGCCCCTCATTCCTCCACCCAATCTCCATTCTGATCCCCAGTGAGGGTGAGGTCCTCCATGGAGGATCTCCGGAGTCTTTCATTTCATCCAGGGCAGGGCCTAGGCCTTCCCCCAAGAGTCAGAGGCTGCTTATAATTATATAAATATTTTATTTGATACTGAATTAATAATTATTGTTTCTTTCCCATTGTGTTTTTCATAGATTTCAAAGGCAGCTAGAGAAGAGCTTATGTCCACAAAGTCCTCATTTTTTAAAAGGGTCTTTTGACTTTGAATCAGGTCTAATGTAAGATTAAGTATCTTAAATTCAGTATTTTTTCTCATCATTTTAAATTTGAAAGTGTCCTAAAAGGCTATCTTACTTCGATATCTAAATACAAACATTCCCAGTTGTTTAGAAAAGAAATGGCATCCAGAATGAAATATTGGGCTAAGTATGATCTGCTTAGAACCACGAAGGCTTGCCTCATCAGATATTCTGAGGGGATAAAAGGCTGCCAAAGGCTTGCAGTTGGACTACCTGACTGATGTCAGGGCCTCTAGTGGGAAAACACGATGTGCATTTACTTAATTTACTGCTCACACACAGGATCTCAGGTTGATGATCATGTATGATCGCTTCATACCGTAAACTTTTTAAAGATTGGACAGACAGAAATTAGGTGTTAACATGAGATATGCTGAAATTGAAATTTAATATTACCTTAGAACTTTGAACCAAGTGTTTTCCCATGCAAGTACTAATCAGGCCCAACCTTGCTTAGCTTCCAAGATCAGGGGGGTGTGACTGTAGAAATTGTTCTCTAATTAACTTAATTTTTATTTAACATTTCTTTCATGAATCTCAGATTTCCATGTACTGTATCACCAAATGACCTAAAAGTCTTTAACGCTCCCCAAAGAATCTAATGGTTAGAAACTTTAAAAAATATGTTCTAAAGTAAAAAAAGAAAGAAAGAAAAATCAACCTCAGTTCTTGGCTCTTAAATTTTAGGATATATGGTTATCTGAGTCATTAGGGGAATGAACTAACCCCCATAACAGTCTCAGTTATGGCAGGCTGTGTTCACTCTTGCTCTTCTGGCCATATACAGTCAAGGACAGCTATGGGCATAGTCACAAACTGTAAGCTTACTTTAACCATTATGAGTTTTTGAGTTTCACCGTTATTGAGTGTTAACTTTTTGGGTTATGACATCATCTCTCAAGTTCAAAAGTCTGACAAATCTGATATAGTTTTTCTCAAATTTCTCATTCTACCATTGAAACAGTGCTAAGTTCCTTGGAAACTTGGGCTAACTCTTAGTACCTTTTTTTAAAGCTTCATAGGTCCTCATACATTCCTTTCTTCCATTCTGTGGTAGCGAAGTAATTGGATTTCTTTCCTAAAATGGCAATGTTTGTAGAAACAATATTAGATTGTAGTAGTAAGTCTGGCACCATATTGGATGCATATATGTTAGTGAAAATTGTTCTAGAAGACAGAAAATTATGTAAACAATCAACTGGGTAAACAAAATAATGTGAGGTAGCTTATAATCACCTGTAACTTCAGGTCAAGGATATTTGAACATATGTGGTGCACATACATAAATACATACACTCAGACACATATATAAAATAAATGCACAAGTAAACAAATATTTAGGAAAAAAGAAGTTATTTGTATCATATAATTTAATTTGTGCCTCAAGCTTTATGTTTTGCTACTTATGATTCAGACATTGCTGTAGTTTTGCCGTCTTGAGAAAGATGACTAATTCTCTGTTGGCTTTACCCAAAGAAAAAGGGAGAATAGCATGACTCACCATCATAATCTTTCATTTTTATGCATACAATAAATTGGCTTACGTGCATGACTTGATAAACATTTAATTGAAAAGGAGCTTCACTAACTACATTCAGTAAAGTGGAGTGCCCTCTGAATAAGACTGTTTATTGGCTAAATCGCATTATCCTCAGAGCTATAAATCTGAATCACCTCATTCTAATGAGATTTACAGGCCTTTCTTTCATCCTTTGTATGGATAGAATCAATCCTTGTGTAGAAGTCAACCTTCCTGTGTATGCACATGCATGGAGAGCCACATCACATAAAGATCCAAATGTGCAAAGGAAGTTTGGACAATGGATAATTTTTGATTAACTGGGAATATTAACTCTGGAGATCCTCTCTGTTCTCTTTTGGATGGTAATTATGAAAGTTTAGGCTTTTATGAAGTTATCAAGTGAGGAGAGGGGGCCAGGAGTCTGGTTTCCTGATTAATATCAGAAGCAGAGATGAACTTTATCTTACTATTTGGGAATATTTCTGAAAGAATGTTTTACACCTCCCACCCCGTGTGTGTGTGTGTGTGTGTGTGTGTGTGTGTGTGTGTGTGTGTGTGTGTGTGTGCACTCACTCATGTCGATTATAATTCACTATCACTTCCCACCTTGAAGAAACAACTCTCACTGAACTTGCAGCTCAGCCAGTGATACTCCAGCATCCTGTCTCAGCCCCATCCTGAGCCCCAGCATTGGTGTAACAGATATCTGCCACTGTCATTTACATGGGTACTGGAGAATGAAAAGGAGGGCCTCATGCTTACTCAGCAAATACTTTATGGGATGAGCCATCTCTCCAGTGTCCCCTGGAGATACTTAAAAGTTAGCTTTTGTAGCCTATACTTGATAAAAATTGACAAAGCTACTTCCCAAAGAGCTGTTTCTTAAAGGTGGAAGAGTAGATAAGCATTCCAATTGCAAATGCTGTGTCTTTTTCCTCAAAAGCAACCCAGATATTTGTTTTTCATTGCTGAGATACCTTTAGATACATGACCCTTACTTTATCTTTGAGAGACAAGACTTTTGGTGCCTGAGTGGGAGTCAGGTGCTTTTACTAGAAGCTTTCTTTGGTCAGAATGTCCCATAGTCCCTCAATATTGTAATCGTTCTGTGGGCTTTCCCTAGTCAGAGTCTCTCAGATGTAGACACCATGTTTGTTTTGTTTTGGCCAGTGCAGTTTTGTTACACAGGGGCTATGTGGAACAGCTAGAATTATTTCTGTTCATTGAAATTATAAATATACTCACTATGTAGTATAACAGCCAAAATTTTGTGATTTTATCTCTGTACTGAAACGTTCAAATTATTTCCTTCACACTTAGTGACTTTTTCTTATGTATTTGTTGGCTATTTGTATGTCTTATTTTCAGAGTGTTCAGATATTTCTCATTTTAAAATTGGATATAATTGTTATCTTTTGAGTGGTGGGATTTCCTTGTATATTTTGAACACTGATCCCTAATCAGGTAGTTGCAGGTACTCTCTTCCGTTATGTATTTATGTTTCAAGTTAAATTTATTCATGTTTTACACCCTGACCACAGTTTCCCCACCCATCTCTCTTCCCCTTCCCTCCCTCCACTTCCTGTCTGCCTCACCCGCCCAATCCACTCCTCTGCTTCTGTTCAGAAAGGGGCAGGCCTCCTGTGGCTTTCCACAAAGCATGGCAATACCAAGTCGAGGTAGGACAAGCTCCTCCTCTTGTATTAAGGCTGGAGAAGACAAGCCAGCTAGGTAGCCGGAATTAGCCATCTTCTATAATCAGATTGCTAACTACTCTTAGTTGTCGTAAGAGAGCTTTTACCTGGTGACTGATGGAAGCAGATGCAGAGATCCTCCACCAAGCACTGGACCGAGCTCAGAGAATCCTGTTGAAGAGAGGGAGGAAGGATTGTCTATGCCTGCCATAGTGGTGGTGGTGGTGAAGGTCATCACAAGGGAACCCACATAAACAACTAACCTCGGCTCCTAGGAGCTCCCAGACTCTGGAGAATTTCTTGTTTTTAACTGAGATAGAATCAAATAGACCTTTGGGGTTGTTGGGTGTGCGACTTACTCTGTAGACAGTTTTAAGAGAAACTTCTTTGTCATGAGTAGTCATACTATTGAGATTCCAAGACAGTTTTGTAGAGGCAGAAGCTGACAAATTGACTTGTGTGGATTTCCATGTGTGAATGAAAATTTCTGTATTGGTACCATCCATAACTTTTGAGCAAACTTTCCAGATTTATCTTCTCTATTCCTCTTAAAAATTTTCATCAATTCTTTCTGGCTGAAGATTCAATTCTCCTTGCTTGAACCAGGCATTGAATTCTACTCACTGAGCTGGGGTTGAAATTCAGTGCTAAGACTCATTTTCTCACACACCCAAGTCCTATAAAACATAGATTTCTGACTCTGAAAAACAAGCTCCTAAGCTTCGGCCTCTCTCTGCAGCCAAGCTGACACTCTCTCCCCACACTCTGCTCATTATTCGAATTGGACCTGTCAATAGTCTCATTCAAGAACTTAGTCTCTTTTCCTCTGATCTACAAGCCCTTCTGCTTCAAAGCTTCACTTAAATGCTAGCCAGCCTGAATTCTTTCCTGTATCACATCTATAAGGTTTGTAGCCCTTACTATTTCTCCTTTGTTATATGGCTTTTATATGCAAGTTTATATGCTGTTTTTGACTTTAAACTATTCTAGCTCAGAAACAAATCTCCTCAGGCCTTGACTCTTTTTACCTCTCAGTACAATGCCATGAATATATTAGAATCCTAGTACATATTTACTGGTGTACAGGGCACACAGCACTAAATAATTTGGACATTTAGGACTATGGCCACTTCGATATTTTTAAAAGAGCTTCTGAGATTTAAAGTAATTTTTTAAAAGATTTTTTAAAATGTAAATTGGGAACAAGCTTACTTCACATGTCAATCCCAGCTCCCTCTCCCTCTCCTCCTCCCCCTCGTCCCCCATCAGTCACCCTAGCCCTCCACCCAATCCCCACTCTGTTCCCCAGGGAGAGTGAGGCTCTCCATGGGGCATCTCCAGAGTCTGTCATTTCATTCAGGGCAGGGCCTAGGCCCTCCACCAATAATCCAGGCTGAGAGAGCATCCCTCATTGTGGGATTTTTTTTATGATAGGATCTTATAGCACTCTTTGGCTTTGAACTCACTGTATAACTTTTGATGGCCTTGAAGTTCTGATTTTCTTGCTCCCACCTTCTGAATGTATACAAAACACACCTGTTAAATGTCATGCGTGGGCACAAATCCAGAGCTTTATGCATGACAGGCAACAGTTTTTCATTGAGATACATCTGTAGTCTTAGATTCGACAATTTTTATTGATATGAAATATAGCAGTGGTGCATATGATTATGTAGTTCAGTATTGCAGAGTAAGATGTTTTAAAATCACGAATAATTTACTTTTGTCATTAACTCTGAGTTAATGAAAATATCTTTGAATTTATTTTTCATTGGAAACTTGTTTTTGAAATATTCTTATTTTCAGTTTCACCCAAAGACTATCATTAAAGTTTCTTACGTATGTGAGACTATCAGAATATCTCTAGGCAATTATTACACACCTTAATTCTTGTGTTACATAATTATATATATACATATATATATATATTTGAGCTGTGACTAAATGGTTCTTTTCATTCTTTAGTATATTAAGCATGTTTATTATTTTAAAATAGGACTAAATATTTGAAAAGGAGTTATGCTTTAGGTTGGAGAGAGCACTGACTTCACTTCTAAAGGTCCTGAGTTCAATTCTGAGCAACCACAAGGTAGCTCACACCATCTGTAATGATGGCTTGCAAGCATACAAGCAGGGAGAACACTGTGTACATAATAAATAAATAAATGAGTCAATAAATCTTTTTTAAAAAGGTGAGAACTATTTAGACACTCTGAATATGGGCAAGAGTTATGTGACTTGATCTGTTGGGGCAGGAGGGGCATGTGGGCAGTGGCACCAGGACCTACCCCAGGGCCATGGATTGGCCTTTTGGAACCCATTCCCTATGGTGGAATACCTTGCTCAGCCTTGATACAGGGGGGAGGGGCTTAGTCCTGCCTCAACTTGGTGTGTCAGACTTTGTTGACTCCCCAAGGAAGGCCTTACTCCCTCTGAGGAGTGGGAGGGGGGATGAAAGGGTAAGAGCTGGTGGGGCAGGGAAGGAAGGGGAAACTGTAGTTGGTGCGTAAAATAAAAAATAAACTTTTTAAAATAAAAAATGAAAGGAAAAAGAGTTATGTATTGTGAAAATGCAAATACATTTCAAGAAATGCTTATGTAAGTGATTGATCACTGTGGAAACATTGTATACAAACTAATGTAACCATGGCATCACTAAATGATATTGTTTTAAGGCACTGTGATCAAATACAATTTCTGTTCTTGAACAAATGCTGGAATGAGATACATTACTTTTTCAACCTTTGTAACCTCTTTACCATATAAACAACCAGAATACATGCTTACTTGTTGCAAGGACTAGATTTTTTACTTTCAATTAAATATTTTTCAATTTTCTCTTTTTCAAATGCAGGGACTTTCGATGCTGCCTAGTCTGACAGAGTTCCTATGTACTCTAGGCTGACTTTGAAGTTGATTTCAGATGTTTGCCATCATGCTTGTCTTAGTCTGTTATTTACAGAGATATCAGTAAAAATGTTATATGTATTTGTCGTATATATAAGCACACATATATCTAATGTGCACAAATGTTTGTGTTAGGTGGTCAGGCTTTGGTGCTTTTTCATCCTGAAGATGTTGATTTGGGAAGTTTTCCTGAGAGTTGGGCTCCTGGCTCAGAAAGCATGTGCTTTGCATTTCTGAAGCATGAGCATGGATCTCCAGCACTGTCCAAACAAAGCAAAATGACAAAGACATTTTCCTGAATTACGTGTGACTTAGAATTTGTAACTGCTTTAACTCTGGGGTTACTGTTTCTGTCATTTTTCAGAAGTCTTCTGAAGCGGTGATAATCTTAAGACAACATTCAGAGACAAACAATCATGAACACCAAAGATTTTGTAGTTATACCCTGGGGAAAACCTGGAAATTCTGTAAAATTAAAATATAAGTAAGTACAGACATATTTTTAAAGTAAAATAGTTGCTAAAGTTTTACATGCTGTAATTTTTTTAAACAAGAGAAGGGTAAAAGTCAAATTTTATAAATTTTCATTTCCATTTTCTCACATTGATGTGTTTTCGTATTATAGACAGCAAGTTTATAAACTATTTTCATATTATGGAACTTAAATTTATAAACTATTATATTATTAAAATGATAGTCATTTTATCACTTTAATGATAAAGTCATTTTAATGATACAGTTTGCAAATTTGAAGTGTATAATAATTTTCAAAATTAGAACTAAAACTACTATTGTTAACAAAAATTGAATGTAAAGTTATAAATGAAAGTTGGCTATTGAAGCAGCATAAGGGAAGGTTAAATTTTGTGACATTTCTTCAGGGTTACAGATTTCAAAAGAAGTTGAATTGAAGGGTCAGTTTGGGTCAGAGATCTTTGAACATGGACACTATGCTCAACATTCCAGGAATGGCAAGGAATCTTCTAAATAAGCTTGGAAATCCATTCTGGTATTATGGGCGTCAATTCTGAGCATCCTCAGTATTTTATGACATTCCACGAGTGTTCAAAGCATGTGCTCAGAGTTCCCCTTGGAGATCACCTAGTCATTGGAAATCTTCTTCAATACTACTAATAGTCAGCCAGGATGTGCTTGGACCATGCCACCCATTTAAAATGTTAGTTTCCGCATTTCTTAGTTCAAATCAATGGTCCTATAATTATTTGGTACCTTCAGAGCTTTTCATGAATTACACTTTCTTCACTTCAAAGGCCTTGGATATGAAAATTATTATAGAAACTGAAACAATGTTATGTGAGCACAGGATGGTACCATATTTAGATCTATTGCTTTGGTGGTTATGAAAGCTGCCAAATTGTGAGTGTTGCTTTTTTGACTTCTTGAAACAAAAAAAGGATGTGTGTATTTTGTTGCATGTTTCATCTCTGTGTCTATACCTGCAAACCATTTGTTGAACCACTGTCTTATCAGTGGCATACATACTCTGAGAGCAATTTGTGGCTACAAAGGGAAGAAACCAGAAGCTTTCTCTTACGGTAACTTGCTGTGGAGACGGTTTATAATTACACTGACAGCCTAGTGTGGTATGTGATGTGGCATGTAAGCCAGGGGCCTGGGAGAACATCATCTAAGTGGGCAGAAATGTGCAGATACTCAAGTGCTATAGCAATGATACAGATCCTTTGGTAGTCATTGGATGAAACCATAGCACTGTAACCCTGGCTGTTCAAGTCACTAGTCTAGGGTTGTTTTAGAGTTCTCTTTTGTACCCTCCTTGGTTAGTCCTCTATTTCCCATCAGCCTATGAATTCAATTAATTCTATTTTCTTATTTTTATCAAATGCTCCAGTTTTGCTTGACATTGTCTCTCCTTAGATAATCGTAGTCACCACAGTTTGGCTTATTGGTGCCGTGTCTTAGCTGTCTGTCCTGCTTCTAAGCCTTCCTCCTTCTAATGTGAGTTTTCCTTGTGCAACAGAATGATCTTTCTAAACACAAGTGTGGTCAAGTGTCTTGAAATCCTGAAGTGATGCTCATTGTTCATAGAAGACAACTCCCAAGTGCTGATCACACTTTCAGGGGTCTTTATGATCTGACCACCAGCCACTCACTCAGCAGGCCCACTTCTCTTTTCTTATCTTACACTAAGTGAGTTGGAGTAGAGAGCTTGTAGCTCCTTGACTCACATGCTGTCTTCTCTTTCCTCTGTCCACACTTTTCTTTCTTCTTGGACTTCTGTTCCTACCACCTTCCGTTCATTAGACAAATGCTCTAATCCTTTATCTCTTAGCTCCTTTAACCCAAGAAATGTCCTTAGTCTGAAGTCAAGGGTGTATGTACTCTCTGTCCTTAGGCTTGGGCAGTCCAGCTGTTCCTTCCCTCAGTAACAGCATAGTGATAGCATGCCTCTACGAATTTGCTGCTTGTCTGTATCCCTTCTGAATTGCAGGATGCATGTGTCTTGCTGTTTGCCATTCCTCACAGTTCCTGTGTGGCATAGGGTGAACCTTACCTTTTGGATGTAGTTAAAGTAACAAGTCATTCCCTCTATACTTAAGTCAGTTCCTCTGGACCCTTTGCCAGTTACTTTGAGATATTGCCCTTGGTTGTTGCCACCTGTGGACAAAAGTTTGGTGCATTTGCTTTTTACTGAAGGATTTTCAACACTGTACACTAAATCTCCATTATTCCTTAGTTTGGGTCAGAGCATAATATTCACAATGATGTAGGGAAAGTTTTAAATTTGAAATAAATAATGAAATCTAGACATTTGTGTTGGCTTCTGGCTGTAGAAACAGAAGAAAGACAATAAATAAGTAAATAAACAAATAAGCAAATAAATAAATAAGAAAACGGAGAGATATGGATGGTGCCTGAGGAATGATAGTCAGGTTATCCTCTGACCTCCACATGCAGGCAGAAAGATGTGCATGTACATTCTTTGTCTCCTCCCACAAACAAATACACACACACACACAAACACACACACACACACACAAACACACACACACACCTTTTGTAGGTAGTCTTCTGCAGCAAAATATTAATAGGTGTTTTATTCCAAAGACATATAAATCTGCCCTGATGTTCACTTTCAGAGCTTTTTATATATGGCATAAAGAGATGCTTACTGAAGGTTTCAAGGTGCTGGTTCAACAGAATGAGCTTATGTAGGAAGAAAACACTTGTTTTAGTCTGAGGATATGATTCAGTGATAAAGTGCTTATCTAGCAGGTACAAGGTCCCAGGCTTAATCTCCCTGCGTTAAATGGATGACTGGAAGAGTGATGATAATTTTAAGTACTATTCTGTGAACCATGTGATACAGTAAAAGTGGGTGTAAAAATTATGATTTTCTTCTATTTGTCACAGATAATTCTGTATATATACGGCATGGCTCATGTGTAAAGCAAACGATGCCTTTAAGCATTCAGATTTGAAGAGACACATTGTTTAAAGACAATATTAAGAACAGAAAAATACTTTAAAAACATGCTTCAAGAAGTGCATGGAAAGCCTATGAACTAAGTTGTTGGTTAAGCCTTACTGTTAGCAACAATCTAAGAGCAGAGCTTTCTCTGACATTTGCTTGGTGCGAGGTTTATTTGTTTGATCTAAATGACCGTTCAAATTTTGTATCTTTAGACATGCTCAGGAACTTCAAATGGAGAAAATCCAGCTAGAGCTAGAGAACCAAAAGATGGAACAGATGTTACGAGATTTCCAGTCCACATGGAAAAAGGGAAAGGAAGAAATTAAGTGAGTGAACACTTCAGAGAATTTAGTGTAAGCATAATATTCCGTAACATTATACTGATTTAATTGTGCAATCAGTTGAACCGAATTATATAAAAGCTGTTGTGTGTGACTTTGTTATTTTAGTAAAAACATTTGGTGGACTGATGATCCTTAGCTGTCCCTGAGGAATAAGGAATATTAATTTCCCTTTACTTTTGTTTTCAGTGTCGCTTACATGAAGCACACCACTTTTTAAAATTACCAGGGCTTCTCTTTCCTCTAGTTTACTAGCTTTTTTTTTTTTGCTTTTCCTAGTTCCTTATTAAGGTCCCCAGTGATGTATGGCCTGGAATGTACAGGAAAGCAATGAAAACTTGATTCTTTGCTATGAAACAATTGCAATCAAGACACCAGAAAAGCAATCTGATGTTTAGGGCATTTCTGTGTGGTGTAATTTTTAAGGGAGCAAGTGGGTCCTTGCACTATATCAGAATTCTTTAAAATATTTTTTAGCAAAAATAGATAATAATTTTATTATGTTGATGAAATCTTAATATTATGCTCATACATTGTCCTATGCTAATCTAATGTACTTATTAGAACACTAACAAATCAGGTGCTTCAAGAGGAACTGATAATTACATGATAAAAATCCAGTCCATTTCCTTACACCATTTAATGATTAAAACTCTTTTTTTTCTGGGCGTTGGTGGCACACACTTTTAATCCCAGCACTCAGGAGGCAGAGCCAGGTAGATTTCTGTGAGTTGAAGGCCAGCCTGGTCTACAGAGCAAGTTCCAGGACAGCCTCCAAAACAATACAGAGAAAACCCCCAAAACAAAAAAAAACCTCTTTTTTCCTGTAAATGTCTCATTTTTCTACAAATCTTTGTAGGAATATGTGGGTGTATTTGGTGTCCTTATAAATGGTATAATCTATAAGTTATGAAAAATAATTCACAACATAAAATTTTGGTCAGTGCTCCAGCCACATGGATACATACAGATTATTCCATTTTTCTTAGTGGCTTAAGTTTTCAGTATTTTGTGGCTATAGATGCCACCGTGGACCTGTGTACTTCAACATGTACTTTTGCTTTTATACCATCTTTGAATAAATTCCTCTCTCTGTCATTTTAGGTTCAGAAGCATGTTTATTTTAGATTGTCCTTAATATGGGCAAATTGCCTTACAGATGGATATCAGAAGTTTACAGTCCCCTAGCAAGCATTATACTACACATTTTGTATGTGTTTGGTTATTTTAAATACTACCATAATATTCATATAGTAAATTTAGCTCTGCTTGGTCTTCAAAGTGGTAACCATGCAATCTCCATGAAGTACTTCATCAATCATTGATGAAATTTCCAGTATATTTATTATAGTCTCAATTTATTCATTTTTAGAGTTCAATTCTTTAAGAAATTTATATGGCATCTATACATACTTCCTTTAATAGGTGGGGCACTGGTTTCATCAAAAGTTTTCAAATGTTTGTCATGAAGATGACTAGGTGTGTCTTGCTGTGTTTAATATTAATGACCAGTAGCAATTGCTTTCCCTTTCACTGATGTTTCCTTTTCCTTTACATTTTTATGTGGCTGTTAGTATATGCATGTGTGAGTGGACTCATGTTTGTGTGTGTATGTATGTGCATATATGTTTGTGTTCACCCATGTGGAAGTCAAAGGACAACCTTGGTGTCATTTCTCAAGAAAGGCTCATTTGTTCCTTTTGAGACACAGACTTGGATCTCACTAAGTCTACAGAGAGCTCTCCCAGAGATCCACCTGTCTCCACCTCCCTAGTATTGGTGCTGGAGATATACACCACCATGCCTGACCTGGTTTTAAAACTCTGTGCATGCCGGGCGGTAGTGGCGCACGCCTTTAATCCCAGCACTCGGGAGGCAGAGGCAGGAGGATTGCTGTGAGTTCGAGGCCAGGCTGGACCGACAGCCTCCAAAACAATACAGAGAAACCCTGTCTCATAAAAACAAAAAAAATATAAAATAAAACTCTGTGCATTAAACTCAAGCCCTCATGTTTATAAATCAATAGCCCCACTAACCAAACTACCTCACCAGTTCTAATTTTGCCTTTTTAATGAATGATAATTTTCATTTGAAAATCAGAGTTCTTGCAAGTGAGTTTTCTTTAGCTGATTTGCTGGATGGTCTTTTAGAACATTCTTCAACTTGAGTAAGATTGAAAAGAGGTAATATTCTCTTCTAAGGTTTCACAGATAGTGTCACAAACAAAAATGAAGACTTGATACTCATTGACCAGTAAAAGGGAGGTTCATGGTTCTAGTTTGGGGTTTATTATTTGTTATTTCTTTGACATTGGGAAAATTTTCTTTTTTTTTTAATTTTAATTTTAAATAGCTTGTTTTACATGTCAATCCCAGTTCCCTCTCTCTCCCCTCCTCCCGCACTCCCCTTCCACCCTCCCTCCCACCCTATTGCCAAATCCTTCCACATAGGGGATGTCTAGAGTCTATCATTTTACTCTTGGTAGGGTCAAGGCACTCCCCTAAGAGTCCAGGCTGAGAGAGCATCTCTCTTTGTGCTATAGGCACATGAAGACATTGGGAAAATTTTCTAATGGAACATGATTCATTAGTTTTGCACCCATAAAAATTTTTATTTTGTGAGGTTCAATGAACCCTACTTTGAAAACTGTAAAATTTATACTTGCCTTCTTTGTTCCGTGTTATTTACAATGTGTGAGTTTGTTTGAAATCTTTAGAAATCAATCATTTGACAGACCTAAAGTATATTAGGTGGTATTGATTGTTCTCTTTTATCCATCTTCATTTGTGAATACCTAATTTCAAAATTTTATGATCATCTGCAATATTTTCTAAAATTAGTTAAAGTCAGTTACTATAAAATGCTAGCAATGGGATTCTTCTTCTGTGTTTGAACATTTCACTTTCAGTCATCACTACACAAAACTATCAAATATGGAGAAGCGATATTTTAACCGATATACTGGTGATAAGCTAGGACATCATTGACATTTTATTTGCAGTTTGTAGTAGTTCATCATTCTAACACCCAAATTTCCATTTCCTGAATATAGAGAAATGTATTTGTTTTTGATTAAAAGAAGGGATGTTTTCAGTGTTTGCATTTTGTTTTATATCTATTGAAGGCCAAGTGGATATCACTGGAAATCTGGAAGTGTGGGCAAATTGGGTAACAAGTCACATATAACATCACAAAGCAAAGGGAATGGTACTAAGGTAAGAAAGAAGCCATTTTCTGAACAAGAGGACATGCATTATGTTTCAGGTTTTGCATTCTCTCTCATACTTAAGGATCCACTATTCTTGCATTAGTAACTTCTTTTTAGGTTCACCTAAAATGTTATTATGTGAGCCGGGAGGTGGTGGCACATGCCTTTAATCCCAGCACTCAAGAGGAAGAGGCAGGCAGATCTCTGTGAGTTTGAGACTGGGCTGGACCGACAGCCTCCAAAACAATACAGAGAAACCCTGTCTCGTAAAAACCAAAAAAAAATGTTATTTTGTGGTTGCGATTATTCAGATATGCTTTGTTTTTCATTCAGAATAATTTTTTAAATAAAATATTTCAGAAGGTTTTTTTGTTTGTGTTTTTTTCTGAAACAGAATTTCTGTCTGTAGCTTTTGAAGCCTGTCCTGAACTTGCTCTGTATATCAGGCTGGTCTTGAAACTCACAGAGATCCACCTGCCTCTGCCTCTGAAGTGCTTGGATTAAAGGTGTGTGTCACCACTGCTAGGCAAGAAGTTCCTTAAAAACTACTTCCCTGGTAAAGTTTGCATTTTGTCTGCCTCCAAACTCAAAACACATTTTCTCAATTCATTTGAAGTTTAAAGGATATAAAAATACAATTACCTAGTCCTATATTATGGTGAACATTAATAATATATGACAGAACAGTTGATGGGCTTTTGTCTTTACTTCATATTATTTCTTATTTCCTTAATACTGTTGTATTCTTCTTGAATAATAATTACTCATACACTCTTAGTCTCATGAATAATGACGTCCAAGAGAAAATCTGCATGGCAATCCCCAAGCTCAGATTTACTTTATCATTACTGTGCACTGTAAAGTCTAACATTGCATCATGTTTTTGATTGCAAGTAGGTAAGTGATTTTATGTAAGGAAAAGGTTTTCTCTGGATTTCTTTAGTGTAACATTCGTGACTTGGTGAATTTTAACTTGCACAGCATTTTATTTTTATATACCGACCATTAAACTTTCATCGGGTCATTTGGCACCAACAAATATCTTACTCGGCACTCCTGTACTTTTCAGCTAAAGAAAAAGCATTTCGTTGTGTAGTGCCGTCCCTTTGTGAGTCAGGTTTCTTTCATTTGGGGTTAAAAATTTATAAGCCACTTTTAAGTGATCATTATCTTCCCACAGTGCTGTCCTGTGATGCATTTTAGATGTCTGTAAATATGTTAAACATTTTGGCTGTGAGCCATCATGGAAGCTCACTCTTGTCTTCCCAGCACTCAAGAAGTTGAAGCAGGGGGATTGCTATGAGGCTGAGGTCAGCCTGAATAACGGTGCGAAACCCCAAGTCGAAAAGAAAAGAACAAAATGAAACAAAAAAAAATGCTAGCTGTGATCACCAAATTTGTGGTCATGAACTTGTATGCAATGGCATTTTTAAAGTGCAGTCTTGGACTTTTAGTGATTTACTCCTTGTTTCCAAGGAAATCCTAGTCTAATGTAAAAAAAATTAATGAAATATTTCTAGTAAAATCAATCTAAAATATTTTCAATAAACATTTTGTATATGAATATGAGTACTTGAGAAATGGCAGCTTACCTAGTGAGTTTATATAAGGACGTATTTGAAGAATAAATCAAAATCCTTACTTTCACAAACATCATAATTTTAAAAGAGGGTGGAAGGCATCTACCATATGAAAGACTAGGAGGGAGGTAGAGGCTTCCCAGTCTAGTCTCAGGTATTCTAATGCATTTCTCTTGAGCAGTCTTCTCTTCCCTTACAGAGCTTGCCCAGTGGGTTTGCAAAATTAAGAAGAATGATTTATGATGGTTTTTCTTTTCCAACTGACCATTTGTTTGTTACTAACAGAGTATTAAGGAAATAGGATGTACATATTAAATACAGCACAAATGAATAAATTTTGAACATGGATTTCCTATGTATATACTTATATTTATTTATGTGCATTCAAATTTATAGTACAAACATTATAATATTAACTGTGGAAATTGAAGGAATGATAAACTAAAGTGCAAATAGGTGGTTCTTTTCTACTTCCTAGTCACTTTGTGAGATGTGCTTGCTACTCTGGAGATCAGTGGGCACAAAAACATAGAAAGTTGCAGAGGTATAGAAGCCAGAGAAGGCTATAAAACTACCACAGAGGTCATATGGAAGAAGTCTGAATGAAAATGGTAACAGAAGAAATGTAAAGAGAAACACTGCACCAAAATACATGGGGAAAGAAAGAGGAAGACAAATGCACAATGGATACAACAGGATTTATAGAATAAGAGAGACTGAAGGAAGAAAGAAGAAATGCCTGTGGTATAAGTTTAGGATTTTGTTTAAAGTCTTATGTAATAGGTAAAGCTAAGTAAATGTATCCCTAAGAATTTGCATAAACAAGAGAGATGTGAAGACTAAAATGCTAGGAAAGCCTGTGTGTGGTGTACAGGAGCTCTCAAAATTTAATATTTACTCAGTATATTTTATGCCAGCCAACAGCTTATCTTAGTTGGCTTTTTATCTCATCAAGCACTTCTATCCTTCCCAAGAGTCAGTTTCTAATTGTGGTTTCACAGATGAAGTAATTTCACATCAGAGAAGTAAACTGATTTGCTCATTGTCAAGCACGAGGACCACAATTCTGCATGCACACTGTTAGCCTGGTTCTAAAATAATTTTCCTGTTTTCCAGTGAAGAGAGCCTGAGAATAAAAGAAGGGCAGGCGTGGAGCCAAAGACTTAGGATTTCTTAGAAGATTAAATGGAAGGAAAACCTTTTCAGAACACATATTGGATGCTAATGCCATCCAATGTGTTGTTGCCTTAAGAGACTTCACTTTAGAACAGTGATTATCAATAAGGCAATTTTGTTTCCCTGGAGACCTTTGGCAATAGCTGAAGATTTTTGCACTTGTTACCATCAAGGGAGTTTTCTTCTTGATTTTGGTGGAGACGTTGGGACCAAGGTTGCTGGTGAACTTTCTAGAGTGCAATGTACAACCTCTTGGTGTTAGTTTTGCTGTGACTGAGGGAACTCTATATTGGCCTTATAAATTAAAAATCTCACTTACATTATTTAGCTATCTCTTCAGTCTTAGGAAAGCCAACCACTTTGATGCTCTGCTATACATACATAAGACATTTATAACTTTTAGAGTTCTAAGAAAGGTAAGAGATGTTACATAAACCCAGTTTGAATTGTTACAATGTCTATATACAGAATATAATATTAAGAGGCTGGAGTTTAATTATTGAGCTACCATTAGATCAATGAAAAAGTATATTTCAAGGATTTAAAAATGAAAGAATGGGAGACAATGAGCACAAACTACTGTAGTGAACACAAGAGCAAGAACACATAAAGGTTCATTGGCATAAAGGAGGAGTTAAGTAGTTTGGGGTTTGGTGGACTCAAGTCAGCCAGTTATAGGCTAAGGAGTGGGAATGCAAGTAGGAGAGAAATTGAAGAAACAGATGACATAGTACCAGTGGTTGGGGCTGCGGTCGTTGAGAGGTGGTTCATTAAAGAAACCTTCATGAGGGACACATACACACACACGCACACACACACACACACACACACGCACATGCACGCACGCACGCAAGCACACACGCACACATACACATGCCAAATAACATGGGTGTAAATACATGCAAATTGTAGAGATCAGATTTGACAGGTGATACAGTACAATACTGCATACAACTGTCATGAGACATCAACACTCATGTGGAATGTGATGGCACCTGCTCAGGGGAAAGACTGGAAACAGCACTACCATGGCTTCTTGAGAGTGGAGGTTTGGAATAGCAGCTGTGGGAATCTTGACTGGGGTTCAGCAGTAAATGATTGAACTTACTGTTAAGAAGTCCTATGTGACCATGGGGCTGATTTGGGCATTTCAGGAAGCCCCTTAGCATTGTTTCATCACAATGGTAGGAAGAATGGGAAGACTGAGAGTAGAAGGAAAAGTGATCATATTTATCAGTGAGAACCTCTGTGTTTGGAATTTGGAAGATGTGGACATTTAGAATGATGTGTAGCTGCAAGGTTTGGTCAAAATGGTTGGACAGCTAGAGGCATTTAGATGTTCACAGCTGCCAGAGTGTTGGAAGATCTTCAGTGCTGAAATGGCATGAATTGAAGTATGGAGTAGATTCTGCTGTTTAGGTGGAAGAGGAACCTGGGCATTGATAAAGACAATACATCGGCAGTGGAGATCTTCAGTGGATGTGAATTTACTGAGTGATGATGATGGAATATCATTCTGGGTATAAGATGCAGATTTGCCTCCCTCTATGCCAGTGAGTAAGAGGGAAACAGTAACTGGTTGGTCTGGGGAAGTGGCTCAGTTGGAAAGTGCTTACTTAGCATGCAGGAGGCCCTGAGTTTAATCTCAGCACCTCATAAATGACATGATGGCTATCCATCACTTGGGAAATGGACTAAATGTTAGATCAGAAACTCAAGGTCATTTTCAGCTAAATTGTGAGTTGGAGATCAGTCTGCCCCAAACAAAAGAAAACAAAACAACAAACCCAGACCCTTAAAAAGGAACTCGTTTCTGTACATATTATTTTCGAGAAACTTTGACCCCCAAAGTGGGTTTCAGTTAATATGAACTTTGGGGTGACCACATTTAGGATAGACAGGAAGTACCATTAGTTAAGTTTTTATGGACCATAAGGAACTGATAGCAGAGATGGAATACTTCAGGAGTTGGGAATCACTGAAACAGTGCCCCTGGGGAACTTTGGACACTTGAAGGCACTGGTGGAAGGTTTCAGGTATTTGTTGTGTCTGAGGGACTTAGTCCACACCAGTTGTTCATACGTCAAGGATGGCAGAGCCAATTAAACCACCCTGGCATTGAGAAGCTCTTGTTCAATGCCTTCTGTCACAGCAATAATACAGTGGCTTTAGCATGTTAAATTATTGTTTCTGACACTCAGAATTGTGTAAACATGAGTGTGTACATTTGTATCCATTGTCTAACCCTACTTTATCTCTCAATCATTTTTTCAAACATAAAAATAAGATTTAAATGCAAAATTCAATTAAGCTGAAATTAGTAGCTTGTTTACTCAAATATTTTATGCAATTTGGATAACTTGAAGTAAATATGGATACATTTGTAGAACAAACTAATGTAACTCATAGTAATGAAAATTATAACTTCTCCTTAATATCTACTTTGTTTTCCTGACATACCTACTCATAAGGAACTCATAGCCAGGCTGATCACATTGCAGTTCAGAATTCAGTTGTGTCATTAAGGTAATCATACTGGAAAATTAAGTTACAGAAGGTGAGGTTAAATTATACTTAACTTGTATAACACTTCCAACTTAAAAAATAAAAGTGTGATTCTTATAAAAGTTGATTATTTCAATTCTATTTTCTTTCCTGCTGTGTTTGGTACAGAAACATCTGAGCAGCTATTTCAAAGAATATGAACAATAAGTGCATCTTTGAAGCAAAACCACAGAGAATAATTAGGCCTAAATATTCAAAGATGACTCCAGTTGGTACAGCCGTAGATATAGAGAAGACCATTGTTCTCATATCTTCACGTACAAATTGGGCAATTGAGCATGCAAATTGCAAATTGAAAGCTGGGCATGAATTGGCATTGTCTATGTAAATGCACACCATCCTCTGGGCTCACTGTGGGCTTTAAATGGTGGTTTTTAATAAGACCCAGGTGGATGTGTTCACTTGGCAGGTCTCTTTTGCTGCCTACAATGTTAAGATCTGAATGTTTCAAGGGATTGTTTACACTGAAAAACTCAGTGTTGCCTCTTCCATTCTCAAGTGTGTTTTAGCAGACACATAGCAAAGTCGGGAATCATAAATAACACATATGATGGGTAAGACCACAATGCTGAAATGTGGTTCTCTAAATTGTACAAATAGGACAATGCCATCGGCTTCTACAGTTATGTGAACAGAGTTGTGCAGTCAGAATTCAGTGTTGATTCAGTTTGCACAAACACCAGACAGTGTGCTTCAGAAGGAGGAAGAGACTTCTAACTCTCGACCGTATTTGAATGTTAGTGTTTCCTTAAAGTCAGTTAATGCTCACATATTGTCATTTTTGTTCTGCTCAAATCATATACTTTCATGAAACTTTGTATTATAAGAAAAATATCCCTGGTATTTTGTGTAAAATGTGCTCTACAAACTGGGCACGGTGCCTCATTCTTTGAATGTCAGCATTTAGAAGGGATACCCAAAGGATCATGAGTTAGAAGTTAGCCTGAGACACATAGTGAAACCCTGTATCAACAATAGAACACAATGGAAAATGGCTTATATTTACAATATTTATTAATTTTTCTTTTTAATGAAATTTAAAGTTTACATATGCATTTAATTATCTTTTAGTTTTATTCTCAAATAATTCATTTTATGCAAAATGCACCCAAAATGGTGCAGCTATCTAACATTTTGTTAATAACTACACTTTCTTTGGATAAGAGAAATAATGTGTATTTCATTAATGCAGCTCCCTGCTGGAAATGTGAAATTAAAGTTACTAAAGGAACAAAGTCAAGGTAAGCAGCATCCAGTATTATATACTAAAGATAAGGCTTTCATATATCATATACATTTGGATAGTGTCTCCACATATTTTAGATGTAAATTTCAGTATTGTGTAGAGTTGAATGTTCGGGTCAAGGGGGTCTAAGCAAAGCCGATAGAAGCGGGTGCATGTTGCCGTTGCTCATGGCATCTAGCATGGTTGCTACGGTTTCTGCAGTGAACTGACAGATCAGACTTCCCCGCATCCACTCACTATGCAGCCAGTGCTCCAGTGCTGTGAGAGCATTTGGAAAGGCTCGTGGTTTCGTTATATTTTTAACCAAGAAAGCAAACACTATGCTTTAAACTGATTATTCTGATTTGTTTTCCTTCTAGAACCAGCAAAACAAACAGTTAATTACAAAATGGCTCATTCTCTTGGAAGTGAAAAACCCAAGAACAAAAAGAAAGTTTGTGGACAGTGTGAGAGCAAAGCTGCTCTCCTTGTAAGTACAGCACAGTGCAAGCAGAATGGACTGATCCGGCCCCTTAGACACACCTCTCCCCACTGCACCTGTTCCCACAGCCACATGCTTACAGCAGGGTTTTTCTATTGGGCCACCCAGCAGCTCCCAATTCATGACAAGGAGACTTAATATTAGTTATAGATGCTAGGCCTTAGTTTAGGCTCTTTTCTTGCTTGCTCTTATAACTTAACCAGTTGGTCTTCATCTAGGTTTTGCCTTGGGCTTTTTATCTTTCTTTCTTTCCTTCTGTCTGTCTTTCATTGCTTCTGTGTCTGTCTCTGGCTGTTTCTTCCTGATTTCTGGGCATGTCTTCCTCTTTCTCCCTCACTCTGTCTTCTTCTCAAGCCTAGATTTCTCCTCCTAATTATTCTCTGTGCACGACAGCCCCACCTATCCCTCTCCTGCCTAGCAAGAAAGTGCCTTAGGCAGGCAAGGTGAAACAAATGAAACTCATCTTTACATAATTAAAGCAATGCAGTATAACCAAATGTAGCATGTTCTCATATCATTAAACAAATGCAGCATAAGCAAATGTAACACATCTTAACATAGATATTCCACAACATATGCTAGTCCTTTTTGTTACTTTTACTCTGTGTGCTGGCAGATAAGTTTAACATCTATACATATTCATGGAACATCAGCACCTCACACTTACTTGCATCATTTACAATCATATCCCCCCTCTTTTCCATCATGCTTGGCATCACACACACACATGCAACAAAACCTTTGTGTAAATACAATGTCCTGTCATGATTTTGAAAGGTTGGACACCTGACACTATTCCCCATATGTTTCTTTTTAGTAGTTTCATATCCTACATTTTGTACAAAACAGGAGTAAGTGGTTTACAATTTGGCTTTTGACGTATCAGCCAAGTTTACTTTTAGTAAATTCCCGAGGTCTGCAAATGACTTCCCACTTGTGGCCTATGCCACAAAGCTATGGATGGTTATAATTTGATGAAGTGCTTGCCATTGCATCTAACATATACAAAGCATACAATATCCAAAAGGTTTTGCCATTAGCTTGTCTCCTTATGATTTTATGCATTTAAAATATCGATAAAACCCAGAACGTCCAACATTTCAAAGGACATTTCAGTGGCTTCAGGCTATTTCTCTATGCTACAAGTAGAGAGGAAAGTTACATATTAATTTGGCATATGTGGATGATTTAATTAGATTGAAATGAGTTCCCCAAAACTAATACAGCTGATCTGGAATTTGCCAAATCAACCAAATAGTTTTAAAAATTGCACCCTGGTGTTTTGTCATTGAGGAAACTATGCAGTAAAATGGAATCCTTATCTGTGGTTTAGTATGTTTCTGCCAGTTGCACAAACTGCCTAAAAAGATTTTCCAGTTGGCAGTCATTTTAACCCAATTTAAATCCAAATATGCTTGTATAACAAAATCTGTGAGCTTACTTGGCAACTGCAGCTTTGATCTTCCAGTCTACAAATATCTGCTGGGCTGCTTTCATTAAACATCTGCTAATAAATACTTGGCTTAGAATTATATGCTGAACCTGATTTTCAGTTCCTTGATTCATGTTATGTGGTAGAAACTACCAATGGTTTATGAAAATTTAGAGATATATTAGCAGGTATGTTCAAGAAAACTGGGCAAAATACATTTTGAAATAGTAGTCAGTATAACTATACTATCATATAGATATGTGAAACTATATCTTTAACATTTATTTGGCACTGAAAATCGTGTAATTAAGGACTTTTTTTGCTATGATTTCTTAGCAAAAAGAGGTGTTTCTTTTTTCTGCTTAAATGAAAATTCCAGTTTCATGTTTTAAAATCACCCTTGAAAATGTATCAAATTAATAACAAACCATGAAGTCATCTGAAATATTTAATTTGTTGAAGAATTTATTAGTTTTTAACAAAGGATTCCTTTGTTATAGCAGACTTGAGGATCTGCCCGAATCTACAAGCTAATGGTGAAGTCACAATAGCATCTACATTGTATGACTCAAAACTCAAGTCTCCAACCATGATAAACATCGATGTTCACTTAACCATTGACCATTGAAAGCAGTATTAATTATTGCTTGACCTAGACCTTCTGACACACTCTCTGTTCTTCCATTATTTCCTTCTTCATGTTTCCAGTTATTGTTCTCATCCTGGGTCAAAGTGAAGGGTCTGAATTTACACTACAGCACACCGTACTGGGAAGGTGTTCAAGTGATGTTACAGCTGCATAATGACAACTTCAATCTTAGCAACGTCTCCAATCCTCTTCTCTTTACTTGCAGTGGTGCCTAACACCATCACGGGTACACGTACATTGCATACCCCGAGTTTGCACAGGTCGGTCACTGCAGTTCTGTACTACCTGGAAGCTTGAAGATAAACCGGGACCATCTGAGTGGCCAGAAGCAGCTCTATTACTTTTGCTTTCCTTTGCACACATTTCTGACAACATTTTCTAAACTCTATTTTAAGAATCACGGAGCAAAGAATACATTCATTAAACTATGTGGGACATTTTGGAAGCGACATTATATATTGTTTTCAATTAGTGTTAATGTGCATAAAGTTAAACCATGTTATAAAATGTGAGTTTTAATTTGTAATGCTTTATTTCCACCAGGTCAAGGAGTTTGACTAGGTGATATTAATTGTTTTATGGTTATTATGAAACAGAGCATGTATATATACATATAATATGTATATCCAACACTACCACAACGATTACACTTAGTTGTTCTGAGAGAAGTATTTCCTCACTGTTAAATGTTAGCATTTTGGCACCTTTCCATTCCAATGACATCTGTGTAATTGGAGGAATAAACACAAGGACATCAGAAAATCTTCATGCGAATTCTTTTCTGAAAGTGGAGTTGTCTTTGTGCTCTGTCATATATACATGTGTGTATCTTTAAAGGTATGCCTGGAATGTGGTGAAGATTATTGCTCAGGGTGCTTTGCTAAAATGCACCAGAAGGGGGCACTGAAGTTCCACAGAACAACTCTTTTACAGGTAGGACTCTTTCAAGAGTTTATTCCTAAAATGTTACAACATACATGCATTTAAACATATCTTATTATCTGAATTTCAGGAAATTTTCCGTTAATTTCTAAAATCTGGTTATATGCAGTCGGTCTTGACATGTCTTTTTAAAATTATTTCACTGAACTTTAATGCAGACTGTATTTTGTAATTAAATTTTTTAAAATATAGTCTCTCAAACACTTAGCTTGATTCCAGTATTCAGATTAGGCAGCTCTCTGTGACCTCACAATATTAAGATTAGATAATATTTTCATCTGTGAAAAATTTAAATTAATTGGTTTATTAAGTACCATTTCTAGCTAGTTTGTGTAAAGAGATTTGTTTTCTTGGGTGCTATGTAAACATTTATTCATCTTCACACATTATCACTTAGATAACCAAATCTCATGGGCCATCCTTTTCTTTCCACATGCTATGACCTTTTTTTTGTTCTATTAAATCTGTTGATTGGTTTGTAAGATGCCCCAGCTTTAGCCCTGATAAGTGCCTTTAAAACTTTTATACTTAAAGAATAAATATGGTTAGAATAGGATTTGGCATCCCACTAGTTACATTTAATGTTGCACTCATATGTCATAAATTTAAATCTTTTTATAGCAATTTATTCAAGGGTAATTTCTGGAGCACATTCAAGGAAGCTAGGTCAATGCTAGTCAGTGACATTACACAGATTAATGCTGCTAACATCTTGCTGGTAAGAACGCAGAAATAAAATTAGAAACAAAGGCCCAATGTAACAGTTAAAGACTTCAAAAGTCAAAGAGAATGTAAAAGACATGATCAAATTTGTGTTTGAAGACATCTTTGTGAGATGCAAATCTTTACATGTCCTCTCAACATAAATAGACTTAACTGCTAAAGATGCTGATCCATAATGATGAGGAATACAAAGCATCTAATAGACCTGCCTCATATCTTCAACATCATTTCTGTGTCTTTGTTTCTCCCGGGAACCCAAGTGCATTGGTTAGCCTATATTTTCTGGCCTAAGAGTCCTAGTGATCTTTTTTTTCTCCACCTCTCCAGTACCCACTTTAGAAATGCATTTCATTATGCCTGGCTTTTTATGTGCACGCTGGAGACTGAACTTAGTTCTGTGGCTTCCAAGGCAAGCATGCTATTCAAAGAGCTATCTCTACATTCCCAGACCATTACTTTTGATTTGCCACCCAGTTTTTAGAGCTTCCAAAGAGAAAAGACAGACGGACCATGGGGAAAAAAGCCACTCCTTTTTTTCTTAGAGTAATTTAATTGAATGCCACTATAAACAAAATTTTATAAAATGGAGTCTAATTGGTAAGATATAACTACTATAGACGGTAAATGTACAATGATCTCACTGTAAGTTCCTACTGGAAAGTTCCTAATGAATGGTTTATTCATTCTTTGTTTTTTTTTAATTTTTATCTTTTTTTAACTTTTTTATCATTTTAATTTTAAATAGCTTGCTTCACTTGTCAATCCCAGTTCCCTCTCCCTCCCCTCCTCCCGCACTCCCCCATCCCCCCATCCTCCCACTATATCCTCACTTCCTTCCACATAGGGGATATCCAGAGTGTGTCATTTCACTCAGGGCAGGGTCCAGGCACTCCCATAAGAGTCCAGGCTGAGAGAGCATCCCTCTTTGTGTTATGGACACACGAAGTTAGTTTGTATGCCAGGAATAAACACTGATCCACTGCCCAGGGCCCCATAGGTTGCCCAGGCCTCCCTCACTGACTCTCACATTCAGGAGTTCTGGGTCAGTCCATGCTGGCCTCCCAGCTGTCAGTCGGGGGCCAAGAGCTCTCCCCTGTTCAGATCAGCTGTCTCTGCTGGTTTTGCCAGCCCATTCTTTGCCAATTTGCTCATTGCTCCTCTCTCTCTGTCACTACGTTCCATGGGTTCAGTTCAGTGTTTAACTATGGGTGTTTGCCTCTGCTTCCCTCAGTCACTGGATGAAGGTTCTAGATGGTATATACTGTAGACGTCAAATTCATTATCAGGAATGGGCATTTAAGGTGGTCTCTCCACTATTGCTTAGCTTGCCAGTTGGTATCATCCCTTTAGATCACTAGAGGTCTCATTGGTGCCAGATCTCTCTTCTAACCTATGACTCCTACTATTATGGTATTTCTCATCCTGTTCTGCAGCTATTCTATGCCCCACTCAACCTTCCTGTTCCCCCATGAGCTACTCTCTCTTCCTCTTCCCCTCTCTCTTCTTCCCAGCTCCCAGTCCTCCCCTGACCTCTCGCCGTGTTCCCAACCTGCTCAAGAGATCTTGCCTCATTCCTCTTCTCTGGGGTACCATGCATATCTCTCTTAGGTTCTTTCCTGTTTCCCAGACTCTCTATCAGTGAAAGTGCAGACTGACACTATCCTGATCCATGTCTAAAATCCATATATGTGTGAGTACATACCATGTTTGTCTTTTTGTGACTAGGTTACCTCACTTGGGATGGTTTCTTTTAGTGCCATCCATTTGACAGCAAATTTCAAGATTCCATTGTTTTTTTCTAACGAGTAGTACTCCATTGTATAAATGTACTACATTTTCTCTGTCAATTCTTCAGTTGAGGGGCATCTAAGTTGCTTCCAGATTCTGGATATTACCAATAATGCTTCTATGAACATAGTGGAACAGATGTCCTTGTTGTATGAATTCACATCTTTTGGATATATGCCTAAGAGTGAAATTGCTGGGTCTTGTGGAAGATCGATTCCCATTTTCCTGAGGAATCTCCATACTGATTTCTAAAGTGGGTGTACGAGTTGGCACTCCAACCAGCAGTGGAGGAGTGGAGTGTCCCACTCTCTCTACATCCTCTCCAGCATAAATTGTTTTTGGTGTTTTTGATTTTAGCTATTCTGACAGGAGTAAGATGGTATCTCAGAGTTTGTTTTTTATTTGAATTTCCCAGATGGCTAAGGATGTTGAGCACTTTCTCAAGTGTCTCTCAGCCATTTTAGACACCGCTATTGATAATTCTCTAATTAGTTCTATAGCCCATTTTTTAATTGGATCCTTTGGTGTTTTGGAGACTTGCTTCTTGAGTTCTTTGTAAATTTTGGAGATCAGCCCTCTGTCAGATGTGGGGTTAGTGAATATATTTTCCCATTCTGTAAACTGCCTTTTTGTCTTGTTGACTGTGTCCTTTGCCTTACAGAAACTTCTTAGTTTTAGGAGGTCCCATTTGTTAATTGTTGATCTCAGTGTCTGTGATACTGGTGTTATGTTCAGGAAGCGGTCTCCTATACCGATTCGTTGAAGAATATCTCCCACTTTATTTTCTAAGAGTTTCAGTGTGGTTGGATTTATGTTGAGGTCTTTGATCCATTTGGACACAAGTTTTGAGCAAGGCAATAGACATGGATCTATCTGCAGTCTTCTGCATGCCAATATTCAGTTATGCCAGCAACATTTGTTGAAGATGCTTTCTTTTTTCCATTGTATAATTTTAGCTTCTTTGTCAAAAATCAAGTGTTCATAGGTGTGTGGCTTAAAATCAGGATTTTCAATTCGGTTCCATTGGTCTACCTGCGTATTTTTGTGCCAATACCAAGCTGTTTTCAGGATTATAGGTCTGTAATAGAGCTTGAAGTCAGATAGGGTGATGCCTCCTGAAGTTCTTTTATTGTGTAGGGTTGTTTTGGCTATCCTGGGCCATTTGTTTTTCTATATAAAGTTGATAATTGTTCTTTCAAGGTCTGTGAAGAATTGTGCCAGAATTTTGATAGGGATTCCATTGAATCTGTAGACTGCTTTTGGCAAGATTGCCATTTTTATCATGTTGACCCTACCAATCCAAGAGCATGGGAGATCTTTCCATTTTCTTGTATCCTCTTTGATTTCTTTCTTTAAAGACTCAAAGTTCTTGATATACAGGTCTTTCACTTCTTTGGTTAACATTATTCACAGATATTTGATGCTGTTTATGGCTATTATAAAGGGTGATGTTTCTCTTATTTCTTTCTCAGCCACTTCATCATATGTATATAATAGGACCATTGATTTTTTGAATTAACCTTGTATCCTGCCACTTCGCTGAAGGTGTTTATTAGCTCTAGGAGTTCCCTTGTGGAATTTTTCAGGAAACTTATGTAAACTATCATATCATCTGCAAATAGTGAAAACTTGACTTCTTCTTTTCCTATTTGTATCCCCTTGATCTCCTTTTGTTGTCTTATTGCTCTAGCTAGAACTTCAAGTACAATTTTGAAGAGATATGGAGAGAGTGGACAGCCTTGTCTTGTTCCTGATTTTAGAGGAATTGCGTTTTCTCTCCATTTAGTTTGATGTTAGCTGTTGGTTTACTGTATATTGCTTTTATTATGTTCAGGTATGTTCCTGTTATCCCTGATCTCTCTAGGACCTTTATCATGAAGGGGTGCTGGATTTTGTCAAAGGCTTTTTCAGCATCTAGTGAGATGATCATGTGGTTTTTCTTTCACAGTTTGTTTATATGGTGGATTACATTGATAGATTTTCTAATGTTGTACCATCCCTGCATTCCTGGGATGACGCCTACTTGATCATGGTGGATGATTTTTCTGATGTGTTCTTGAATCCGGTTTGCTAGTGTTTTATTGAGTATTTTTGCATCCATGGTCATGGGGAAAATTGGTCTATAGTTCTCTTTCTTGTGTCTTTGTGTGGCTTAGGTACCAAGGTAATTGTAGCCTCGTAAAAAGAGTTTGGCAGTGAGCCTTCTCCTTCTACTGTGTGGAATACTTTGAGGAGTATTGGAATTAGCTCTTATTTGAATTTCTCGTAGAATTCTGCACTGAAGCCATCTGGGCCTGGGCTTTTTTTGTTTGGGAGACTTTTGATGACTGCTTCTATTTCATTAAGGGTTATAGGTCTGTTTAGATTGTTTATCTGTTCTTGATTTAGTTTTGGCAAGTGATATATTTCTAGGAAATTGTCCATTTCCTTTAAAGTTTTGAATTTTGTGGAGTACAGATTTCCAAAGTATGCCCTGATGA